AATGATTGTGAGAAGAGAAACAAAAATTTGGAAATTCCGAGGGTTCCCGAAGAAGGCAAGAATTTTGTTCAATTCAAGGACTTTAAGTACAAAGAGAAGGTTCCTTTTATTGTTTATGCCGACACGGAATGTTTTTTGGTTCCCGAATGTGATAAATCAGCATCCGACACCGAGAAGTATCAGCGCCATGTTCCGTACTCTCTGGGCTATTATTTTAAATGTTCATATGACGACTCCCTTTCATATTATCGGTCGTACACGGGAGAGGATTGTGCGGAATGGTTCTGCAATGAGATGGAACAATTAGCTGAGAACATTGAGACGGTATTCTTGTGTGATATATCAATGGATGAACTAACAGCTGGACAAAAAATGGAATTTTACAAGTCTAAATTGTGTCACATATGCGAGAAGGTGTTTGAAAAAGACGACAAAAAAGTTCGAGACCATTGTCACCTGACTGGGAAATACAGGGGACCCGCACACGAAAATTGTAATCTCCAATTTAGGGATGGTCACACCGTTCCCGTAGTATTTCATAATCTTTCGTCGTATGACGGAAATATAATAATAAAAGCTCTAGCCAAATGTGATGGGTCGATCGACTTGCTACCTGTAAACAAGGAAAAGTATATTTCCTTTACGTGGCACCTAAATGACAACCTGGTGAAATTCCGATTCATCGACAGTTTTCGATTTATGTCGAGTGGCCTGGATAAGCTGGCGGCTAATTTAACGGAATATCCAATACTGGAGCTCGAATTTAGTGAATTGTCGGAGGAGCAAGCCAATATATTGAAACAAAAAGGCGTTTTCCCCTACGATTATATGAATGGATGGAATACGTTGAAAGAAACTGTTTTGCCTCCTATTTCGGCATTTTATAACATATTGGATGACAAACCGTTGACCAAAAAAGATTACAAACGTGCTCAGGAAGTCTGGGAGAAATTTGGATGTCGAAATTTGCAGGATTATTCTGAACTTTATATGAAGACGGACATCCTGCTCTTGGCAGACGTTTTTGAGAGGTTTCGAGAAACGTCACATAAGACCTATGGACTTGATCCTGCACATGCGTACACACTGCCGGGATACGCGTGGAGCTGTATGTTGTATAAATTGAAGCAAAAACTCGATCTACTCACTGACGTCGACATGATTTTGTTTATCGAGAAAGGAATGCGAGGAGGCCTTAGTCAGTGCTCCAAACGATATGCGGAAGCCAACAACAAATATATGCACAGCTACGATCCCTCCAAAGTTGATAAATACTTGATGTATTTCGACGTCAATAACCAATACGGGTGGGCAATGTCTCAATACCTACCGTACGGAGGTTTTAATTGGTTGGATGAACAGCAAATCGAAAATCTTGACATTTTAAATATATCCAACGAGTCGGACGTCGGCTACATCTTGGAGGTCGATTTGGAAATACCCAAGGAGTTGCACGACAAATTTGCAGATTTACCTCCATGTCCCGAACATCGCTGCCCTCCAGGATCCGAAAATCAAAAATTACTGACCACCTTATACGACAAACAGGAGTATGTCATTCACTATCGTAATCTGAAACAGGCGCTACAACTGGGAGCTAAGTTAAGAAAGGTACATCGAGCCGTCTCGTTCAGCCAGTCGCCTTGGTTAAAAGCCTATATCGACCTAAACATTGCACTACGTCAGGCTGCCAAAAACGAGTTTGAAAAGAACTTGTTTAAATTGATGATCAATGCTGTGTTTGGAAAAACAATGGAAAACATACGGAACCATTCCAAAGTTAAGCTTGTGAAAAACTGGCAAGGTCGCTACGGTGCGGAAGCTCTGATTGCCCGACCCGAATTTAAAAGTGCAACTATAATTAGTAAAAATCTCGTTCTTATTGAATTAAAAAAATCTGAAATATATTTTAACAAACCTATCTACGTTGGGATGTCAATTATGGAGATAGCCAAGACAACAATTTATGACTTTCACTACAACTACATTCAAGAAAGATTTTCCAATTCCCGAGTTTTATATACCGACACGGATTCTCTTGTTTACGAGATATTATCCATAGACCCGTACGAGATTTTAAAAAAGGATTGTTTCCGGTATTTTGATACATCGGACTATGCGGAGGATAATCCGTACGGTATACCCACAGTCAATAAAAAGGTTCTGGGTATGATGAAGGATGAGAACAATGGACGAATTATGTCTCATTTTATCGGACTTAGAGCTAAAATGTACGCCACAAAGCTATACAAGACACCGGAGGAAGAGGAGTCCGCAAAACAAGAATTGATGGCTGCAGAAACAGATCGAGAAGCATTTGAACGTGAATTTAAAAACTTGGGTGTAACGAAGAGGATCAAAGGAGTTAAAAAATCCTTCATCAAAACTAAGATAACTTTTGAAGATTTCGTCGATTGTTTGCAAAATTTCGCTGAAAAAAACATATCGCAGAATTTAATAAGAGCGAGCAAACTGGAGTTGCACACAGTATCCCAAAAGAAGATCGGGTTAAGTCCTTGCGATGATAAACGTCGCATATCAAAGTCGTCAGTAGAAACGTTACCGTGGGGTCACTATTCGATTATGGAAGAAGAAACTGTCTCCGCTTGATTATAAATGTGTTTTCGGTTTTGCTTTGAAATTTCGTTTTTTTCCTAAAAAAATCGAATGAGGTGCGCTTAAGGGCTCAGTTCGCGTCTGGCAGCCTCGTTAAATTTTTATTTTAAAAATGCATTAAATATTTTGATCTTTTTCATTATATTTTGGGCATATTTAGAATAAAAATGACCGGAAGTCCTTAATATTTTTCGCTTATTACCTCCAACTACTTTTATTATATTTTCCACTGTCAATAAACAGTTTGACTCCTGTAAATTTGGTTTTTAATTTTGCAACTAACCAGTACCTATAGTACGTGTCTACCGTTAACAGCAAACAGACGACCGATTTGCAAAATGCCTAGTTTGAAAAAGTGTTTATCAATCTAGAAGACATTTATTTAAAGATTAAATGTGCTATTGGATTCAATTTTTCAATATATTCAACTTTATCTCGAACCAATTTGCGATGTCAATGCCTCGCAACCGCAGATAAGAGACTACGGTGCGGTGATATCCTAGTGGGCGGATGGATCGCCTTTGCTTTTAAGGCGCAAAATATATTTGCGTGTGCTATCAGTAATTTTGTTGGGTGTTAATTTTTTTTGCCAAATTACGTCAAGTGAAAGTCGACACGCTTTAAAATTGCATGCGGGAGACTGCACGTCCGAGGCGGTTGTGCGTCAAGTCGTTCCCGTCTGAGCACGTGGACCTTGAGACTCCCACCTGCATGGCTCTCTGGTGACAACATACGTTCAGCGTGTTTATTCAAATATGCGTTTGTGTGCCTTTCGATTTTTAAGTCAATTTTTAATTTTTAATTTAACCATGGACGGGAGAACATGTGAATAAATATATTTAATGTGTATTGTAGACTATATTCAGTGCAATGTCAAGTGCGGTATCTATTTCCCTATGACTCTACAACTGATAAGTTTTATGATTTTAATTTACCCTAATACAGTGCGAGTCTTTTTTTTTGTTTTGTTTTTGTGGGTTTCAGTTTTCGTTAATTTTCTCAGTGATTTTTGAATAACAAAAAAAAACAATGATCACTTTTTTGGTCAGTTCCTACCTGTTTTTACAATATAATAATCCACTTTTTACGTTGCATAATAATCGAATTAAATTGAAATATATAGTGTTTTTTAAATATCCTTTAAATGACAGGGAATAGAAATGTGACTTTACTTACGTCACTTACTAAAAGTTTTGTTTAAAAAATCTGTTTTATAGGCAACGCGACATATACATATTTTGTTTCTTGTTTGTTCTAGAAAAAACACGATTTCTCCGTTTGACAATAATCCGCGTTTTTACTTGTAAAAATAATCAAATTAAATTGAAGTATATAGTGTTTTTAATGTCTTTTAAATGACAAGAAGTAGAAATGTGAATGTTGGTATGTGTGTGCAACTTTCACACACATTATGTTGGCGCATCCAGCAGGGTGGGTGGTCGACAGAGGGAGACGGTGAGGAGTGTATTTCCTATATAGATTTCTTGAAAGAACGGGAACAAGAACGTCATCAGCAGGAACATCGTTTATGGACGACAAAGTGGACGCAAAAGAAGAAGAAGAAGACCCTTCTGGATAAATATTTGTTATTGTATATAGTTTTCTTTAATTAAACTTGAACACACCGGGTGTACCTGATTATTAAGGCACTATGTATAACTCACTCGACTTGTTTACCGTCGATCCTATACTCCCGATCACCGCGTCATCCCGTCCTAGCGTCTCCGTCACCTGCCGGGGTGACGCAGCCGCTGATAGGAATACTGTCAAGAGCGCGCACGCACGACATCTAGCAGCAACGAGACGGAACCGGCGGTACATAATTAGCTCGGCATTAAAGTGACCGTTCAACGACGGACGAATTTCGGGTTCGATCTTCGGCAGGAATAAGATGAGTCATCATTCTCGAGATCAAACACATAATTACACATTGGTTTTAATATGCTCGTTAGCTCGGCGTTAAAGTCTGCGGTCGACAAGCGACGGATCCCGGGTTCGATCCTCGGTAGACGCGAAAAAAAGGTGAGTCACCTGACTAACACATCTGTTGAGTGGTTGTGAGAGGGTTGTGAAATGGGGGTGTGAGGGTTGGGGGGGTGGTGGGGGGTGACGGTTGTGGGAGGGTTTGAGAGGGGTTGCGGGAGGGGGTTGGGGTTGAGGGAGACGGTTAGTTGGTGCTAAGAGGGTATGGATCGAATGACCTTGACCGGGACCAATTTCAACTACAATGAACCTTAAATTTTCTTATGGGAATTTACGTGTAAAAACGGCCGAAATTGCTGTTGAACGCAGGTATTATATCTACTTACGTGCGTTTTAGACACGTGCGGAAGTAACGATAAAACCAATAGCCCGAATGGAGACGTTCTAAAATATTTATAAAATATGTTTTCGTCTTCCACCAGTCTAAAAGTACCATGTAACCAATATATCCGATGCTTTCTTTTCTTGCGTTGTTCTTAATTACACACTTGTGATAAAGCAAATGATTCATCCGCAACTGCTTATATTAAACAATTCAATCGATATCGCCTCGTTAACCACACTTACCACTGCTGGTTTTGCATGACGCTCCGATTTTAAAACTTATATATAAATTAATCTAGGTAAATTAACGCTTTCCCGCGAAGGCAATCCAAGCACAGCAAAGCGTACATGAGAATCGGCCTTAATTCAATTTGAAAAAATATATGTACAAAACAACCGTTTGAAAGTTTTGTGTAAAAAAGTTCTATTATATCCACCACATAAATGTCTTGCCTTGTGAATTGGAAAGATATTTGTGTTGTGAATTGGCTTGAATTCTGAACAGCTTTCGTTCTTACAGTTATTAGTATGGGTAATACCTACAATTTGATTTTCTCTTATTATTTGGATTGACCAAAGAATTTATTGTTATTTATAAGTATAAAAACAAAACAAACCCTAAACAGAAGACTCCCGCGTAACCATTTCGCGCATGAAGCCTTAAAGCAATCTCTTGATGACGTCAGGACTCGGTGACTCGAATGGAATATCTTTGGGCGCTTTGTTTGGCGCTAGATCGAGTAAATACGGCTCAATTCATAAGTCCATCCTGGACACCAATCCCCGTTGCCTAAAATATCAATGATCGCATGTTGCTTTGATTCTTTGCAACTTACCATTCTCATATTTTATTTCATTGTTCTGTGTTGGATATTTGTTTAATGTGGTTTTTGATGGGGATTTGGTTTTATTCAAAGAATTTCGGAATGCCGTCTTTATTTTAAACATTTAGGTAAGACTGATTAGCTTCCAACATCGATTTCTGCAATATATGAAACCAAATTACTTTAAATTTATAGATATAACCTCAAGCACTGGAATTCAAAATTTGTTTTTCTGACATTTCAGATACATTGCTTATAATAACAAACGCAATAACATTTTTTTATGTCGATTCTGTTGTTCACAATAGACCTCTACATCCGCGTAATTTTCTTTTTTATTCATACGCAAGCACAGCATTAACGCCAAATATGTTTCATAACACATGGCTGATTATGAATAATCAAAACTCAGCTGAATGTTTTTCTATTGTTAATTTTTAAACACTAAAGCTAGCCAAAAAACACGCTAAAATATAGGAAGGTGACTTTTCTTCTTTTTTTTTTCAATATGTTTAATGAGTTTTAATTGTATTAAATTACATTTTTTTCCTGCAATTTTTGGTTATTGCATTCTTTTTAAGCTTATATTATGAACGACTCAAATCCTGAGGTTGGTCCCTCGGGAACAAATAGAGCTCGCATTGTAAAGGAGGGATGGCTGTACAAAAGAGGAGAACACATAAAAAACTGGAGACCCAGGTATACGTTTTTCTAGTGAGAAGTTACAAAAGGTTTTTGTATTGCTAAATTTTATGTTATAATTTTATTTTTCCTAGATATTTTGTATTGTTTGATGATGGGGCCTTGACTGGTTTTAAAGTAAAACCAGATGATTACTACAGTGATCCACTTAACAATTTTACAGTGAAGGGCTGTCAGATTATGTCAACTGATCGACCAAAGCCCTATACCTTTATTATCAGAGGACTGCAATGGACCACGGTAATAGAAAGGATGTTTCATGTTGAAACAGAGAGAGAAAGGTTGGTTCCTTTTGTGTGTATGTAGATAGAATAACTAGTGTGTTATAAAAAGACATTAATTTTAAGAAATGGTTCATATCCATTTTGTTTTCAGAGAGGAATGGGTGGTAGCTATAAAATCTGTTTCTGAAAGACTTTCGAGTGATTGTGAAGATGTAGAAATGATGAATCCTGCAAATCCTGATATGATGGTGGATTTGTGGGAAAAATGTTCACTGCAGGGCACTTCCTATTCAAAGTCCACTGGTAAACGAAAAGTTACTTTAGAAAGTTTTGAGTTTCTGAAAGTACTGGGCAAAGGAACATTTGGAAAAGTGATATTATGCCGGGAGAAAGCCACTGGACGACTCTATGCCATAAAAATTTTAAAGAAAGAGGTTATAATACAAAAAGATGAAGTTGCTCATACCCAAACAGAGAATAGAGTACTCAAATCTACAAATCATCCATTTCTCACTGTAAGTATATTTTAAGAAATAATTCCATATAACCTATCCCTGGTTTGAAAATAAGAGATGATGAAGCGAGCTGTTATATTTTTATGCGATCTTATTTTAGTCTCTTAAATATTCCTTTCAAACAAACGATAGATTATGTTTTGTTATGGAATATGTAAATGGTGGTGAACTGTTCTTCCATCTTTCAAGAGAAAAAGTGTTTTCTGAAGAAAGAACCAGGTTTTACGGTGCAGAAATCATTTCTGCATTAGCTTATCTGCACTCGCAAGGAATAATATACAGGTATGTTTGAAAAATGTTTTTTTCTACTCCCCTCTGTAAAATACCTAATTACACCACTTCGGACATTCCGCGATTTTACCGCACGGGTTTGGGAGCAATCCGCAATCGGGGTATGCAACACTTTCCATAAACTTTTTAAGTCACTCGTTTATTAAACACTCTCTCTGCTCTTGTCATATAATGATTAAAATATTTCAGAGACTTGAAGTTGGAAAATCTGCTTTTGGATAAAGATGGCCACATAAAAATAACCGATTTTGGGCTTTGCAAAGAAGATATAACCTATGGGAGAACTACCAAAACATTTTGTGGTACCCCGGAATATTTGGCGCCTGAGGTGCTAGAAGACAATGATTATGGAAGGGCGGTGGATTGGTGGGGAATTGGTGTTGTGATGTATGAAATGGTAAGTTTGAAACAAGTACCGGGAATTGTGTTTTTTCAAAAGAAAAACTTGCAGATGTGCGGTCGTCTTCCTTTTTATAATAGAGATCACGATGTGCTGTTCACCTTAATTTTAATGTCGGAAGTTAAATTTCCAAGAAATTTAAGTGGAGAAGCGAAAGATCTTCTGGCTGGGTTGCTCATTAAAGATCCAAGTAGGCGATTAGGTGGAGGCCCGGATGACGCCAAGCAAATAATGGCTCATCCATTTTTCAGCAGTATTAACTGGCGTGATTTGGAGTTAAAAAGGGTGAGATATATTTAAACTCAAATGATTATGTTTCATATTCTATTATCAAACCAGATTGCTCCACCTTTCATACCCCAAGTGACCAGCGACACCGACACCAGATATTTTGATTCCGAATTCACTGGCGAAAGCGTCCAACTCACACCACCAGATAATTCCGGTCCTTTGGGATCGATTCAGGAAGAACCATATTTCCCACAATTTAGTTTTCAAGACTTTTCATCCACTCTGGGAAGTTCAGCGCATATAAGTGGTAGCATGGCCAGCGTCGGACCTATGCAATGATCTAGCTTTGGACAAGCGCGACAATTAAGTGCAGCACTAAGTGAGTATGGTTTATTGTTTGCTATGCCTAAACTGTGACACATAGAACTTGCTTTAGAGATAATTTAATATTAATTGTTTTTCTTCTCTTAAATAGGGAAAGTATAATTTTTGTAATTTTTTTAAGATTCCTGGAAGAATTTTTGCTAATTTTTTTAATTTCATTTAATTAGGGAATTTTTTAAAACTAAACCAGTTTAATCAAATATTTTTAGCAATAATTAATATTAATATCATGTTTTGTTATGTACATATTGAATGATGAATAGGCTTGTTTTTTTGGTGTGTTTTTTTAAAAATAATTTACTTAACAATTTTTTTTTTGCAGAATTCATGGTACTTATATGTAAGAAGGTAGTAGCAGCGCAGAGAACAATTCGTGTTTTTGTGATATAGTTGGTTTTATACTGTAAATATTTTCAATTTTCTTAACATAAAATAATGTACATGTAACAAAATGAAATGCCTAACTTAAAATAATGAAATGGCCATAGGATGTAAGTGTGTAAAGTCTGTTACTTGCGAATTGCATCTTGCAGGCGATGATTTCACTTTTATAAAAATGAATTTGCCTGTTGCTTCGAAGCAATTTATTTGTTCATATATTTAATGCTAATATAAATAAATTCGCAACAACATATAGTAATTTAAAGACGCGTTTTTGCTCTGGCAAAAACGAAAGTAATCTTTTTTTTTTGTGTCCAGTAACATTGCAGATGTTACCTGTTAACTGGTGTAAAATTCAAAATAAAACCCCCCTCCCCACCGTATAGTTTTTTGAATTTACCAATAACATCTACTAGTTTTGGCATACTTTCATGGAGGTAATTAATGTGGTTGCCGTAATTACATAATTGATTTTTTACAAGGCTCATTTTTGTTAGACACAAAGTGAATTGTTAGTCAAATGCAATCTAGAATGAGGGTATACAATTTCAGGATAGTATTAGACTTTTTTTAAACAGATTATATAACATTATCAAATTGGCAGTTAAGTGACAAGTTAAATGTATACAAAATTATTATACTTCTTTTTATAGTCTAGTTTATATATCTGCTTTTTCTGGTAATAGAGATTTGATGTCAATGTCATTTAAAAATAAATTATAACATACAGTACAGTTTTTAGTTTCTATTTTTTGTCTAACGATACTGATGTTTTAGCAGACCTTAATGTAATGAATGAAATTCTCATGTAAAACAGGGACCAGTCCCTTAATAGCCGCGTCTAAAATTTGGGTAATTGGGGGGGGGGGGGGGGGAGTAAGGAATGTGCCCGGCCAAAATCATATAAACAAGGATTGTCCACTTATACATCACTGCTTCCCGATATACCGAAATCTTTGCTAACATCGGAGATTAAAATAGGCTCCACAGAAGGAAGGCCCAAGTATTTTACGACCTAAAAAGAGCTTCAAGAATCAAGTGCCAGAAAGGTAGAGAACGGGAAGCTATCTGTTTCGATTTCCAAAAGAATATACCACAAAAAGAACTTCAAGGATCAATTGCCAGACAAATACAGAAAGGGAAGCTATATGTCTAGATTTCCAAATGAATCTGCCAGAAAAGGAGCTTCAAGAGTTAACTGCCAGACAGAGAGAGAAAGGGAAGCTATCTGTCTCGATTTCTAAGAGAATCTACCAAAAAAAACATCTTTCAGAGTTAAGCGCCAGAAAGATAGAGAATGGGAAGCTATCTGCCTTGACTTTTAAAAGAATTTATCACAAAAAGAGCTTCAGCGGTTGCGTTACAGAAAGATAGAGCTATCTGTCTCGACTTTCAAGAGAATCTATCAGAAAAAGAGCTTCAAGGTTTATGCGCCAAAAAGATAGAGAAAGGGCAGCTATCTGTCTCCATTTCCAAAAGAATCTACCAGACGAGTCCGTTTTTTACGTATATCCGGAAGCAGTGGCTGCTAAGGGAAGTAACTAAATTCTATCAAGTCTAAATAATTTTGTTCAAACGTTAACCCTGAGATAAAACACCTTGAAGTATTTTGTTGTTTGTTTGTATATTGTTCAGTTTTGAGTCTTTCAAAATAAGTTTTTCAATTAGGAGCCTTGTTTAGAGTGCGACGAAAGTATGACCCTTCTCAACCTAAAACATCCCGCTAAAATATTGGGTTGAATAAATAGAAAGGTGTGGAGTTAGGCCAGCGCCCTGTAAGGAAATGGGAAGTCACTGTTAGGCACCCCCGTTGTTTCACATGGGAACAAAGGTCAATATTACCACCAAAAAATTTTTAATGACCAAAAGTATGACGGCAACATTTTTTTAATTTAGGAATTTCACACTCAATACACAATTTTCAGGTTTAATCCTAGTAAGTGAGCAAAAATTTAAAGATCTGCAAGCTCTCAAGACGCATTATGTTATGGTACTTCATTCTGCTAAGAAAAACTTTTTTTTTTGATAATTTAGTACTAATACGCATGGAATACTACTTTCAACTCTAAAATAAATATGGAACAAAATAAATAAAATACTACAACAATTGCTGCTCTCGTAAATGTGGAGGTTCCCCCTTTGTACTCTGGAAATTGTCTTTTTTAGACATTCCTCATTTTTGTGATAGAGAATTGCTAATGTTTCAGTTTTTCATGTTTTTATAAAAATGTACTTTGAAATACAACTCTTAAAAATGCAACTCATATACTTTAGTAAACAAAATTTGATATATTGCAACTATATTTTAAAATTGGTATTTTGTGACATTCAAAAAATTCAAAAATCTTTAATTTTCTCGGCATATATTTTCTCCCGGTGACTATGATGGGCTCTAATAAATTGTAAATTATCAGTGATTTTTTGGTCAAAGTTAGTATTTAATTATATATAAAAGCAATAACAGAAAATCAAGTTTTATATCTCTGCAAATTTCCCAGATTATTTAAATTGAAATAGCACATTCACATTTGTGAAAAAAAGATATTCTTTGTTAGAACAGTCATTTTTTAATAGTATTTAATAGTATTTTTTATATGCAACCAGTGTGGTGAATGATTGGTGTATATTAAGCACTTGGTCTGCTGGTGCCAAATAAACTTGTGACTAAAAAAGTTTACCAAATGTGTAGCATCCTATACTTTTTCTAGAACCATTATTTTTTGTGTATATTTTTCGAAAACAACATGAAAACGCATCTGATCGCTTCCAAACCCATGTGGTAATAACTGGGCAATTTATGAAGTGGCTCACAGCTGTAGGTAGCAAAACTGATATCGCAAAATGACACTTTCTGCACACTCAATCCGTGTATAATTGGGTACTTTGCAAAATTAAGTAGAAAAAACAATTTCAAAAATTTTGTCTATATAATTAACAGCGATTAAGAATCTTTTTTTTTCCAAATTGGCAAATTATCGGTCTATTGCCAATGATTACCCCATTTAATACATCCATTGCTTCAGAAGCTTGCTCTATACCTGCAAAAGAAAAAACATTTAAACTGGATAAAATTAATTTAATTTTAAGATGTATACCCGATACAATCACAAATATTCCAAACTTACTTTGAAACTTTACAAAGGCTTGACCTTTCATTTTGCCATCCATAATTCTCACTGAAAAACAATCTTCAGGAAAGTTTTTCAGCAGCGGTTGTATGTCACACTCTGATATGTTTTTTGGTAAATTTTTCAAATACAAATTAATCGAAGGATCCCCAGGAGTCCAGTCCTTAAATTTTGGGATTTCCTTAATTTTGTTAACACTAAGTTTGCCACCAACTTCTAATCTAGGAGTAACTTGCGGTTTAGTTAGTTTTACAATAACACCATCCTTTATTGTATATAAATTCTCGGGTTTGCACGAATACATCTTCTCCCTTTTAATTAATTCAATGGTTGTTTCTGTGGGTATCGTCTCCTTGACGTCCCATAAAGAATCTGAACCCTTTTTTGATGTGGAATTTTTGTCATCTGGGACTCTTTCTAAATGTTTTATTTTGTTTGATAAGTTTCGAATTTTTTTTCTAACCTTAGTATGTGAAAAATTTTTAATACTTTCCATTAGATCTCTTTCCAATTCAGATATTTTTTCCATTGGGTGTGATGCTATTACTTTTTCTGATGTATTGCCATTTACTGGTTGATCATTAAAACAACTAAAAAAATTGTTATTACCTATTACATTATAGAATTCAAACAATTGTCTCAATTTAATTTTTGATCACATTTTATGGAACATTGTTTAAAACTACCTATTTTCTCCAATTAGCATTTTTAAGTTTGCTCCAACAATCTTCAGTTTAGTAGAGAGAATATCAGAGTTGACATTTCTATATTTATAGTCAAATTCTTCTTTGGAAAGCCTTTTAAAATCAGAACATAGTTTAGCCTCTTCATTGCTTAAATTTAATTTTTTTAATTGAGACAGCTCTTCTGCACTATCCACTTGTTGCTTAAATTCGCATGAATTGCAAAGTCCATAAAGATTTTCCAACACAGGCAAAAAAGTTCCACTGGCCTCGAAGTGCTTTGTGTTGTTCATTTGGCTGAAACAATAATAATTTTACACTATAAAAACGACTTGTTGTTGTTTATACTTAGAAAGTGTTAAATTAGTTTCTAGTTGCTTTTTTGACATCTCTTTAATCAAGACGCTCCGCTCACAGTGAATTTTCTTTGCTGGCGGTTCGCCTTCATCGAGACGGTGCAATTTCTTCGATTTGCAGTTAAAAATGCTATACATTGTTTCGTAAGCAGAGTTTGTATAAATGTGCAAGTTTAATTTCACAGAATATTAAGTTTGCCAGGAACAGGCACAATGTAATTCAAGTTCAATGATGCGTTTCACAGAAAACTGTTGGGCTCGACTGCTAGGATCATTCGCCCATTGCCGACTTCCGTCGAGGATCTTCGCTTTTGGTCATGGACCAACACGTACAAAGAAGACATATAACCAATATTTGCTCAACTAGCAAAAAACAATTTTGACCGATACCAAAAAAAACCGACACCCCCCGCTTCCGCCAAGGACCATCCGGGCCCATCCGGCCTCCATACCGGCGTGAACGGGGAATAACGAAGGGATCGGCGACGATTATCACTTTACAACGTTCACAAAATACTGAAAACACTAAATCTACTCAGTGGAGACCGATTTCAAAATTTTTGGACGATTACAAAGGATTCTGTAGGGAACGAACGGAGGTTAAACCGCCGCGTGCAATGTTCCACCACAGAATCATATCATTCAATTCAATTATACGTTTCATATTTCTGTTGGGCAAGACTGCTATGGTCTTTCGCCCATTCGACTCATTTGTCGTGATTCGTGATCGTAGCATTGAAAAGCCTTTTTCATCGAATCAAGCACCCATATCATATAAGATTATAAAACACAAATCACATGGATAATATAGATTTCTAATGGTTATTAGCACTTTTTGAAGCGGATTGGGGCTATAACCTCGATGCTCAATACTTCATGTTTTACCAATACTATCCAAATTCAATAATCGTAGGTTGTAAGCACTTAACCTTAATCTCGATTCTTTGTAATTACGTCACATTGTTTTTTAAATTGACTTGTTTCTTAATGATGGAATAACTACATTTACAAGAATTTATCATTCTTTAAATAATGTAAAATAAGATCTCTATTTGTGAAAATTCAATGTAAAAGGTAATTTATCGTTAGATTTTTCCTTTTGTTAATAGTAATTTGCACTAATTCCAACAGCTTTTTAACAACTAACTTTCTTGTATTAAAAAATATGGTGACAGCACTAAAGGATTTGGCGAGTTTGGCGCGATCTCTACAATTAATATGTGACTCATCAATAAAACTACAGAGGGATGCCTTTCTCAGTATATTTAAAAATTCCTCATTTAGTAATGTGGTTGAACAAAATAAAAAAGATTGCAATATGAAAGACATTATGTTCCATCCAGATGTTTTAAATAATTATATTCAAGATGCTACCAGTCGTTTACTTGTAGCTGCGCAGGGACTTAGTGTTTATTCCAATTTATTACTAGCTAAAGGTAAGCTATAAAATATTGCATACAAATATCAGAGCATGCCCAATAGATAATTAGAATTGCACAAAACATGTGCCCAAACTATTAGGGCATTAATTAATTTTCCCAATTTTTTCATATTCTATCTGAAGCTTTATTTCACTCTAATAGTCATTTTTGCTACTATAAATATAATGATGGAAAATTTTCTCATTTATGGTTTTATATTTCCAGCAAACTTGGGGACTAAAAGCAAATCATCTAATTTTTTGGAAAATTCTGTTAGTTTTAAGTCACCTCACGAGATTGTAAGGGAAATTAATCCACTGGCAGTTATTACTCTTGCACCAGGAGATAAAGAACTTTTAAAAAAATTGGACAGAGAACACAAATTAAAACAATTATCAGGAATGGATGAACAACATAGTAAGCAACCTACGAAACTTGAAAATGAGAACATTTTATCAGAAGCCACAACATCCGAACATTCAAAATGTAAACAGAAAGTCAGGATATTAATATTATCTTATAGAGTTCAAATATTTTTCAAGTTAATTTCAGTTAAGTGAAAATTCGAAAGCAAGGAAAGTACCTTCATCAAGAATTGGAAGAATGGTGTCATTTGGAACACTGGCTGCTGGTCTAGGTTTTGGAACAGCAACAGAATATGCCAAGAGGACCTTTGGAATTGGGGACGCTAATGTCAGTGATGGAAGCCTGTTTCTCAGTAAAGGAAATTTGGAAAGGATTGTGGATACTCTTTGTAAAGTTAGAGGTATTTCATCATTCTTTAGTTTAGTAATTTTTTGTTTTATTTCAATTTACTTTGTTAGCCCCCTACACAAGTAACCATTTGCAGGAGCTGCCCTGAAATTAGGTCAACTGCTAAGTATCCAGGATGAGTCTGTCGTAAGTCCTGAATTGGCGAAAGCATTTGAAAGAGTAAGAAAGTCGGCTGATTTTATGCCAGTTTGGCAAGTTGAACAAGTTATGTCTGGCGAATTAGGTACTGATTGGAAAGAAAATTTCTTAGAGTTTGAACAAAAGCCATTTGCTGCTGCTTCTATCGGTCAGGTGCATTATGGTAAACTAAAAAATGGTGCAGAAGTAGCCGTTAAAATACAATATCCAGGAGTAGCAAAGGGCATTGAAAGTGATATTGATAACTTAGGTAAGAAAAAACAAAAATTCAACACTAAAACCACTTTGTTCAAGTGCATATCCCAGTAACATGTATTTGGGTGACCAGGTTGCCGACCGTGGTCAGGATATTGTTGGCTTGTTTGCAAAGCCCTTTGCTTCTACTTATGAAAAGTGTTCGGGTGTAATTCCTAATTATAGTTTTGACTATAGTTTAGACTTAGACAGTCTTGATTAAAAATTGTGTGTGTACACTGAGTAGGCCACTAGAGGGCATTCTTAACCTGTCCTTGTCTTCAGGTATTTTTCCTGACTTTTGGAGGGTTAGTTATTTGGTACCGATTCACAAGAGTGGTGATAAAAGCGATGTCGCTAATTATAGAGGCGTTTGCATACAGTCAGTGGTTCCTAAGCTGCTCGATAGGTTATTTTGTGACATTGGAGGCATTGGAGGGGAATGCTGACTGACCAACAGAATGGATTTGTACAGGGTGGATCTACTGTAAAAAATTTACTCACCTACCAACAAATTTTTATTGAACTTATTTCTCTAAGCTTAGAGCTCTGGGCCCGAGGGTTTTCTGTCTGGTCATACTCAGTTTGTTCGTATTAATGATTATGTCTCGGGTAAAATTGATATTTTTTCGGGAGTCCCCAAGGTTCTCGCACTGGAGCCATCCTTTTTAACTTAAATGATATTGTTAGCATAGTTTTGGAATCCTAGCGTCTTTTGTTTGGGGATGATCTGAAGTTATTCGGAAGGAAGCTCTGTTGCTTCAGAGAAACGTAGATAGTATTTGCATGTGGTCTAAGATTAATAGCCTCTCGTTCGTTGTAAAGAAATGCTGTGGTATTAGCTTTAGTCGTTCGTTGAATATGGTTCACAACCAGTATAGCCTTGATGGAGTCGTGATCGAGGCCTTCACTAGTAGTAAAGACTTGGGTGTTTGCTTCGATTCTAAACGAAATTTTGTGACTCATTTTGCGGAAGTAGTAAATGCGAGTCCTTGGGTTTGTTGTATGCAATAGTGGTTAACTGCAAAATCCCAAACGACCCGCATCACATCTGGAATTCCTCAAGGGTCCCATTTGGGACCATTGTTATTTTCACTGTTTATCGCAGATGTCAGTAAATGTTTTCTTTTTGCTAAATCAGCATCATACGCAGATGATCAGAAATCATATGCGCCCGTGAAATCGTCTATTTTTAAATATTGATAAATGTTACTGTCTTAAGTTCAGCAGGCGGATAAATGATATAAACTTTGACTACACATTCAATGGTGTAAAAATAAAAAAAGTAGAGCAGATTAGGGATCTTGGAATAACTATAGATGTAAAATTAAGTTTTGATATCCACATTGAGAATATAGTAAAAAAAGCTTATAAAAATTTAGGTTTTATATTAAGAGTTAGCAAGGAATTTCAGGATCACAAATCGCTTATTATTCTATACAATTCCTACGTTCGATCTCACCTTGACTATGGCGGTGTGATATGGAGTCCTCGGTATCATAAATATATAGACAGAATCGAGAGAATACAAAAAAGTTTGTTTTCCATTTAAATTTTAGATTTAACCGTAACTTACTAACTCATTCGTATGAAGCTAGTCTTAATTTCTACCATATACTGAAGTTATCTGTTAGAAGAATTATCTCCAGTGCTATATTTGTGCATAATATTATTAATAGTAGGATTGGCTGTCCTTTACTGTTGGAAAAACTATCCTTCAATGCCAGAGTCGTTATAACAAGAACTCCTTCATTATTTTACGTGCCTAGATTTAATACAAACTTAGGTAACAATTCCCCAATATCTCTTTTACATAGACATTACAATAATTATTTTTCGCACGTTGACATCTTTGCGTTATCACTTAATTCGTTTCGAAATCAAGCAATTAGGGTTTTTCTATAAATTTATTTTAATTTTTGATTTGTTTTCCTTATTTTTTTTCACATTTGTATTTTGTAATTCACGCACTTAATATACAGTGTTAGTTTTGGTTTAGTTTGGTAAGTTTGATTGTTATTATTATTATTTTTTTTATCTTCTGCTTATCGTAGATATAGGTAGGTACCTACTTATAAGTTTTACTTTGTTAATTAAATAATGGTATAATTGTTAGTGTGTCCTTGTAAATTGTGAAGTTAGTTCTTCATGTTAGGGCACCTTTGTAATAAATAAATAAAACTCACTCCACATTGCCTTAAACTCCTTTATGTCTCTATGGTTCGCTCTAGACTGGAGTATGTGTTTGTGGTATTATGCCTGCCATATAGAAGCCGTTCAGAAAGTATTTTTAAGATGTTCGGGTTCAAAGGCGCATATATCTATAATGGATATCAGATCAACTACATTATTATAGCTAAGGCCTTCAATATTGATACTCTTCAAACCAGAAGATCTGAGTGATTTAGTTTTTTTCTCTAAGATTCTGTCTGGTTGGTATTATTGTCCAGCTCTTTTACATAGCAGACAATTTAAAGCGTATTACAGAAGCTCAGATAACTCAATATTCCGCAGACCTTACCATCGTGCATCGTTTCTAGTTGTTATACTGCTGTCTTTCTCTCTTTGCCATTAATGAATTTAAAAGTTTTGGAAATTGGTTAAACCGTAAATAAATAAAATTTGAAACTTAATGCCATTTTTTTGATTAAGCAATTAAAAAGTGGATCTTATAGGTGGAATCATGAAAATGTGGAATATTTTTCCCCGCGGAATGTTCTTGGAAAATCTGATGACCGTCGCAAAGAGGGAGCTAGCCTGGGAGGTAGATTATAGAAGAGAGGCGGAATGCACTAGAAAATTTAAAGCTATCCTTTCAGATTATAAGGATTATTATGTTCCAAATGTCATTGGTTAGTTAGTGTGCACCTAACAAGTAAAATCGTTCATTTATTTTTATTTTCAAAGATAACCTATCGACCAAGGAAGTATTTACGACCGAGTTGTTGGACGGAGTGCCTGTGGACCAGTGTTTTGCGTTAGATTACAGCCATCGTGAATTTATAGGTGAAAAGGTATTGGAGTTATGCCTTTTAGAAATTTTGCAGTTTAAATACATGCAAACCGACCCAAATTGGGCCAATTTTCTTTACAATCCATCCAAACGACAGGTAAAAATGCTATCGGAAGTTAATGATCTTAATAGGTGAGAATTTTCTGTGGTATTTTAGTTATTATTGCTCGATTTTGGTGCAAGTAGGGAGTACTCACCACATTTTATGGATAAGTATGTAATTATTCTCAAAGCGTCATGCGAAGGCGACAGAAGTACAGTTCTAAATGTATCGAGGGAATTGGGCTTCCTGACAGGCTACGAGAGTAAGGTAGAGGGGGAAGCTATCTAATGTTTGGTTTTCTCTAAAGCCGCTCTGGTTTTTTAAAGGTCATGGAGGATGCTCATGTCGATGCTGTAATGATACTGGGAGAAGTATTCAGAACGCCGGGAAAATACAATTTTGCCCATCAGGATATGACCCACAGGATTCAAGATTTGGCACAAGTAATGTTGGTTCACAGGTTATGTCCACCTCCCGAAGAAGTCTACTCGCTGCACAGAAAACTTTCCGGAGTATTTTTACTCCTATCGAAACTTAAAGTGTCTGTTGAATGTAGGGACAAATTTTTAGCTTTGTATGACCAGTATCAGAAATCCAAATGAATTGTAATGCTTAAATGAAAGAACTTGCTAATATGAAATGGTAAGGGACTAAAAGAAAACTAATAAGTACCTAATCATTTTACATGAGGCTAATGCTGAAGTTGTGCTTTTATTACGCAGAGAAAACTAATTGTTTAATATTTATTTTTAATTAATAAAATATTGACGGCAAGTATAAGTTCTGACTGACTAACCAAACCTTATGGAACCCAACAGGACGACCACCGATATATCGTCTTTATAACCTTTTATGGTTTTGACTTCCTAACGAGTTTAAGTCCTGTCGGTTGTAAACCGGAAGTGACCATTCTTTTCAGCACGTGCCAGGCCAGGGCCGTATTTAAGATGTTAGCCTACAAGGACTGTTGTATTTTAAGAGTAGAGAAATTTTCTTTGATGAAACACATATTGGTGTGCTTTTTATAAATATTTCTAGAATAGACCCTATTTCAAGTTGAATTTGCCCACTGCATAGGTTGGTCTCCTATATTAAAAACACATTAGAAAGGGTAAACTGATTTATTACAAAACCATCAATAAGAGACAAAGTCTGATGGAGTGGAGTGGAGGCACAAGATATCTCGAATATCTTATCCAAGAAATTGGTGCTAAAAACGTCCCCATCGTATGGTCAAATGAGACCTGATTTGATAGCCTCGAAAAAAATATGGCCTGATGGTAACAGCAGCGCATGCAGAAAAATACCAAATTCGTCATCGACAATTTTTTTTTGCTTGAAAATGATATGTATTTTGGAAATTCTTACACAAAGAGGGAGTTATTGGAAGTTCTCAAGACGGGAACATTTGATAAGAAGTATAATGCGCAGGCCGTGTCACTTCAATTTTAATCCGATAGATATGGGGATAGGTGAAACCCAGTTTAAGAAGAACCAACACTTCGCCGAAATTTAGTTCTGGGGCAATATAAATAATTAGAAGTGAAGTAGAAAAAAATATCTGCGGTTGGAAAACTTCAAAACTCAAGAAACAATACCAATTGTGTGTGTCGCTACGACACATCTCGATGTTTTCTTGACCAATTTCGCCGCATAGGGATGTTCCGATACCATTAAAGTATCGATAGTACTCAAATCTTTTTTCGATACTACTCAAATAAATACTCCTAAAGTATCGATATTTACTCATATCGATACTTTTAGCACTTTAGGAATAGAATAAAGGTTTGCGTCACGCTAAGCACGTACTTTAAACAGAAAACTCCATGATAACATTGGAATAATAAGCTGATGATTACAATAATAGTATATTATGCAACAAGTGCGGTAAACGGCATTTGACTCACGAGTTTATTTGACACGAGCGGAGCGAGTGTTTAATAAACGAGTGAGTTAAAAGGTTTACCGAACATGTTGCATACTATACTTTTTGTACGACCGTCAGTTTTTGGGTACATTTTCGCAAAACACGAACACATTCACTGACATGACTGTCAGAATTGGCAAACGTCAAAATTCAAAAAGTGGGAAATATCTCCGAAAACATTCGATTTCTCCCAAATCCGTGCGGCAAAATCTCGGAAATGTCCGAAGTGGCTCGGATTCGTGGGAAACGAAAACGAAAAAAAATGAAGGGCGGACGTCTTTGTCGCTTTTGGCTCGGGCTCGGTCGAGCGAAGTCGGACGAGTTCGGCTTGACTGGCGCGAGACAACGCGTCACCATAGATCAGATAGAGATTGTTTGTCTGATGCGTTCGGTTTTTTTTTATTGGTGGGGCTGATTCGATTTGATACCAAGTACTTTTGTTTCGATTCCGAGTAAGTATCGCAAGATTGATTCGATGCTATAACTACTTGGTATCGAATCAAAAGTATCGAGTGCCTACTCGTATTTACTAGTATCGGAATATCCCTATCGCCGCATAGTGGTTCCAGGTATATGCTAAACAGTGACAAAAATCAACTACTTTAATTATATGAACAATAAAAAAAAACGATAAAATTAACACGTCTTACTCTCCCCTTAGAATGAAATTTGATAACAGGGTGGTCTAGAATTAGTTTGGTTTTCATATCGATTTCTTTCTATTATTTAATTTAACAATACAATACATTTTATATATAATAAGATATTTGAATTTTCTGGTTATTTATAGTAATCTTAACCTTATTATTTTTGGTATTTGGCGTGATTTGTTGATTTAGGTTAAATTGGACACCTGAACGCTAACCAAGATTGCGTTTATTAGCGAATCGGAATTTGCTTTTAGAAACAATTTTCTGTTACACAAATATATGGGAATTTTGTTTTTAAAGGTTGTTCTTTAAATTTTGATACAATATACGATTAGCATTTTTTACTGTTTTTGCGATGCATATAATATCTTGTGAGTGTATAAGGAAAATCCATAACCCCAATACTAGAAACTATGATGTTTGTTTAAACCAATTTGTGTACCATTCTTTTACATTTAGAGCTTTTAGGTTACATACTAAAATACAGTTTTTTTTTAAACAAATTGTTGCTTTCTCTAGAAAAAAATTTAATTTTCTTTCTATATTTTGCAACACCTACAGTTTTTTAAACGTACTGTCTATTGGCACTTTTTATAATCATATATTTGGACGGCGAAACTTTCATCTGCAATTATTTGATTTGCGATGAAGGAATGAGCGTTCTGTACGTGTATAGGAGGATCTACAGTTGCTTCTCATAAAATTATTATTTCGACTTTATTAACATTTTTCATAGAAGTTAAACTTAAGTTTATGAAAAAAATTCTTTGCGCCGATTTACGTGCACAGATTCGGGAAAAAATAGCTGGTAATTTTATCTGCTCAATTTCCTGCAGTTTGGTAGTCGACACGTTGCAATATTTATAGTGAAAACATACATGTAGAAATTGCATCGTGTCCACCGGGTTTTAAAGTCAGTAATTTTTCATTCTCGACTATTCTGCACTATGTAACAAATTTATCCAATATCAATTTTTTTTGTTGAGACAAAACAAATAAAAGATGTGTGAATTAATTACAGTATATTTGGGATTATTAGCCACACTTTACTATTTTGTTAGAAATTTCACGCAAATTTATAATCGGAAAAGTTTTTTTCTACTCTCGTCTGCAAAATACCTAATTACCCACCGATCTAGCGTGCGGGAAGCGTCGCTTCACCACGTCAGTTTCGTTTCCCTCGAATCCGAGCCACTTCGGACATTTCCGAGATTTTACCGCACGGTTTTGGGAGCATTCGGGTGTTTTCGGAGATATTTCCCAGGCTTTGAATTTTGACGTTTGTCAGTTCTGACAGTCATGTCAGTGAATGTATTCGTGTTTTGCGAAAATGTACCCAAAAACTAACGGTCGTAGAAAAAGTATAGCATGCAACACGTTCGGTAAACTTTTTAACTCGCTCGTTTATTAAACACTCGCTCCGCTCGGGTCAAATAAACTCGTGAGTCAAATGCCGTTTACCGCACTTCTTGTGGTAAAGAAAATCACGGTTAAACATTAAACTGGAGATGTTATCCGATACGACTGCAGAATGACTAAATAATGAAACTGATAATAATGTAAAGGTAATCTTTTTTTGAAAGTAGTGAATTAATGAATGAATAGTAATTTTGTTAAAGGAAAAAGCCCCTGCGGCACTGCAAGAAAAAGTAGTTTAGCTGGTGAGTCACTTTTGTAATTTGGCTTGATTAAACTAATGCCGAATTAATGGTGTTTAAATTTGTTGCTTCATAATAGGTTAGATTATTTTTTGCGGTTTGAATTTATATTAGCAAAGTTTGTACCTATGGACGTATTAAACCAAGAGTTTCCGAATTTTTGTTTATATATTTATTTTCGAAAAAAATAACGCTAAGGGTAAACAAACATGAAGATGAATACTTCGAGAACAATCTCTGTGAAATGTAATAGAAATTCTGTTCCCAATAAATTTTTTAAAGGTTTCTAAGTCAATACTACTAACAGTTTTTACAAATTTGAACTTATTGAACCTGGGGTTGTACGATTTGGCAACCCGGCAAACCTTATTGCCTTGCTTATCGATGTTATTATTTCATCTCGCCCAAAGATCCAGTGGCGCGACAAGCATTTTATTGTAATCGTAATAACGGGTATGCGTGACATATATTTGCCATTTCGGTAACACCCTGATATTTTATTTTACATAACTGATCCACCAAAAATAGATTAGGTTACAACAAATTTTGTATGGCCAATATCTCGTTATTGAGTTAAAAAAAAAGAAAGTGGGCCGTTTTAACTAACTCTATACTCTGATAAAAGAGAAAACTCGACTAAATTATTCATAGTTGCCGATGATCCAGCCGTCTTTCCTAAAAAAGTGTATAATTATTCGCATACCCTATGGTCGGACAAAATTGTACCTGCCAAGTACACTTTACGTTAGCAGTTCTCATTGTCGCTGATTTGGGACAGTGAAAATATAAGCCAACTCTGTGAATGGAATTTGTGATACATACTACCCATTGTTTCAGCGGTCTAATGGATATTGACGCATGCCGGTTATTTATACCTCCCGCGCAAACCTTGTCAGCAAAGATTAATGCATTCTGCTTTTTGCATAACGTATTATTTAATCGGACCTTTAACCTGCGGCAAGGAAAATGCGAACTGAACCGTGAAACATTTTATCAAATGCGATACAGATCGCTGCCTCGGTACCCACCGATACATACCTAATATTGTACCAATAATAATCGCAAAGTTGTGCTCCTAAAGTGGAACCTAGAAAAGCAACTTTAATAATTCACAGTGCCACATAATTTCCCATTCCATAATTAAATATAATAATAGTGTACCGTTTGCCTTGATAAATATGTATAATCATTTCGCTTTGTTCAGTTTAAATTAACAGAGTGGTTGCACCATTTTGGATCGCTTTTTACATCAAATGAGGTCTATAATGTACTAAGGTTAGCTAATTCGAATCGGGATTTTGTTTCTCTTAGTCTGCGTCCGTAGCGTGATCGTGGATCCATAGCATTTTATTAACAAAATATTTTCTACGGTATTTTTCTCTTAGTTTTTTGTTGTAGCTCGCACCCAAGAGCTAAACGTAGTTTTATGACGGGTTTTAGGTTATACTCATTTTCTATATCAGTTACTGTCGTAAGCATTTATCAGGTCCACAAAGTTAATATCAATTGGATAAGTTTGACAAGTATTGTTTTCGCAGGGCCTAGACGCAACCCGCTTTGTTCATATCCTTGATCTGTCTGTCTATTGAAAACATGGATATCTTAGAATTCGCCTTGTAAATTTGCAAATAAATGAGAATTCATAATTACGGTTTCGCTCTTAGTGATCCGTAATTATTAAATTTTTATTATTACTCAATCAGAAGTCAATGGAACGTAAGACAATTTCATTATCGCTTACCAGATGTATGTAATTTAATAATGCACCATTCTCTGCAGGTCATTTGCTCATAAAAATATGAAAATGGAACGGAATAATTAGCGAATTTATTGTTCCATTTTTAAATTAGTGTTCGCGGAATGCAGAAAGTAATGCGATAAACAAAAATTGGATATTGCGAAACTCTCCTGCAAAAGTACATAAACTGTGGTACGTTACTTACCGGCATAATTCTTCAGTTTAAACTTTGATATTTAGTACATAATTGAAAGTGTAACGTTGGTAGTAATTGTTAAGATTAAATACGCGAGTTAAAAAACGGAAAAGGCGAGGCCCCAAAATAATGTAACTGTAACATCTACGTTCTCATTTTAACACGTTTCCTATCTTTTGTTTGCGTCTTGCGCCGAATCATTGTTCGCCTTCGAATGATTAGAACAGCAATTATCAGTGTCTAATAATATCATGAACAGGTATTATTATCAGAAATATAAAATTGTTTAAAACTTAACACATTTACATTAATATGATTCGATATAAAATAAACGTCGAAACAAAAGGAATATTGCTGTTCAATGTAAAATGGCAATCAAAAATGTGCAATTTATTTATTCTAAAATGTATATTTAGGCGATTTCACTCATTACTGGCTTCTTTCTTCTAAATACGTTTCGAAAATACGTTAATGAGAGCTTTTTGTCGTAAAATATATAATTTTTAAAAACGAACGGGTCCTCGAGTGATTTCAAGACAAGAAATTCAAATAAAAATACATACATACATACGAAGATGGATACAAACGTATATTTTTCTTAACAAATTTAATGATTTAATAATTATACAAGCTTATAATTTTGTATTCGTCGATTGTTGAATCGTTGCATTTGTTGCCTGTGCAATTAGATTAAATATAGCACTATGAATTAAACAAACCATTTCCCCCCCAAATTCTCATACTGAAAATAAAGCCGGGAATTAGAGATTTACTTGCAGCAAATAAATTTTAATTTGAGGAAATATGGTGACATACAATTCATTTCACATTCGCTTTATTCCAAGCAATAATTTTGGTATTCCAGTTGATATTACACGTATGTGATGTTAAGACTTATGTATTTCAGGGAATAAATTATATAATATATATTTTGCTAATGACGGTACATACCCAACAATGTGGATTATTGAATTAAATATTTTAGTTTAGACAAAAGTTTATTTGCTGTGAACGTAATTTTATTCACGTAATTGATTGAATTCAGCTCAGGGAAAAAAGCGTCCACAGCAAGTCGTAAGGCCCGTCCCGTCTTTCAAACCATACCGTTCCAGCTCGCTTTTCCTGGCCCCCTCATCCGGCTAATTTAGGGCGAAAAGTAAACTGTTTCCGCTATTTTATGAGCATCATTTGTAAAAGGACTTTCCCTTAGATATGCCAGAAATGCATGATCTTGTTCGGAGATGGAACCAGTAAAAACTTGTTTTCTCAAGGACTCAAAATTTTGGGAAAAATCACAAATCACGAAATCAGAAAAAAATCCACCGTCCTAAATATAGGAATAAAACCACGTTATCTGCTACCGAAAAATTATTTTTAATGTACCAAACGGTTTGCCAAATCTTCCCTAACCACGAACGTACTTCTCGGTCGTGGCTAAAGGCTTGAAATATTACAATTTTCAGCTTTCAAAGACTAATTTCATTTTATCATTTCACTTTTGTGCCTATTTTTTTAAATAACCTTTACGTCAAATGTTTAAGTCGTTACCTTGCTCTTTAATATCACAAAATCCAAATTTAAAAACCTACAATTAGAAAAGAAAAATGCACTTTACAAACAACACAACTTAATATCAGAAATTAAACGCCAAGTTATCCATCATTATGTCCATTATCAGCAAAGAGCACGTTGGACTATTACAGTATAAAATAATTTATTTCGTTTCATTTTTCATTTATCAATTCCCGAAAAAACTAAAATGACCTCAACGTAGCTATTTTCAGACAACTTTAATTACCAATTTACAAGTGTGCCCATTTTCTGTTGAATACAATCACAATTCAAGAGCCAATAAATATATTAAAATAAATAAAAACTCGTATAAGTCGTTCCCGATGAATAACAACAAAAACCCTTTCCACGACGAATAGATGTTAATCATAACTTTTTGAACACTATTAACACTTTTTGGCTCATACGTCTGCATTGCGGTAAAAAGGTAATCGAGGAATTAAGCGTGAAAATCATATTAAACCACGGTTTGCCGCATGGTTTAGCGTGGCAAAGTCGCGGCACATGGAAGAAAAAAAATGTTAATACGCTTTTACAGTTTTGATACGTCGGTAACGAATCCGACGGTTCAATTACCACGAGAAATATAGAGCGAGGTGTTGCTTTTTAAAAAATGCCAGACTTCACGAAAGTAAAAGTGAGAACCATATAATGCACCATTGGGCAGAACGCGCCGATGTCTCGTATCGAAAATCGAATTTAATCTGTCCTAGTCGTATAAAAAAAGTAATTTTCTTTAAAAAAATAATTTGAGAGACCGAGAATGATGACGAAAATAATTTATCTGTTTGTCGATGTTGCTGAAACAATCAATTATTCTCTGAGATAGTTGGTTCTTGCTAATGGAAATTAATAAAAACAGTATAAATTCGGCCAGCATTACTTTATAAGTGTGTGGGTGTTTTTTTTCGATGTATAGAACTTTAAGTTGACTGACATGAATTTTATTTATCCGAAAGATAATCTTGTGGCATTAGATTTTAAATATGATTTCTGGTATATGACCGCCACGGCTGGCGCGGATGTAGTCCAATGTGGACGTCAAATTTTCGATGACTTTTTCCAACATTTGTGGCCCTATATCGGCAATAACACGGCGAATGTTGTCTTCCAAATGGTCAAGCGGTTGTGGCTTATCCGCATAGACCAATGACTTTACATAGCCCCACAGAAAGTAGTCTAGCGGTGTTAAATCACACGATCTTGAAGGCCAATTCACAGGTCCAAAACGTGAAATTAGGCGGTCACCAATCGTGTCTTTCAATAAATCGATTGTGGCACGAGCTGTGTGTTGAAACCACATCTCCTGGACATCATGGTTATTCAATTCAGGAATCAAAGAGTTAGTAATCATAGCTCTATACCGATCACCAATGACTGTAACGTTCTGGCCATCATCGTTTTTGAAGAAATATGGACCAATGATTCCACCAGCCCATAAAGCGCACCAAACAGTCAGTTTTTCTGGATGTTACGGTGTTTCGACATACACTTGAGGATTAGCTTCGGTCCAAATGCGGCAGTTTTGTTTGTTGACGTAGCCATTCAACCAGAAGTGCGCTTCGTCGCTAAACAAAATTCGCTTATGAAAATCGGGAACAACGGCAATCTCGTTTTGGGCCCATTTGGGCAATATTTGTAAGCGTTGTTCAGGCGTGATTCCATTCGTGATGAATTGCCAAACCAAACTGAGAATAAATCACCTGACAGCTGTTAACTCGATCGCCATCTTGAATAGTAATGCCAACTTAAAGTTGTATACATCGAAAAAAACACCCATTATAACCTAAAGTCACTCTTCCTAAAGAAAAGGTAGCAGTAACTTTTATGAGTCAATTAAATAATAATAATCTAACAAAATAATGATGATTTTTGAAACACCGTCAAAATCTGCAATGGTTTTACCATTTGAAATAACCAACAAATATTTTAGTTGTCTAAACATAAAAAACCTTTGGCTCAATAATAATTTGATGAAGAATGATGTGATTATTTGTAGAATACTCGGTAATATAAAAAATATAAAAATCAGTTCCTGGGGGTTTTGGAACATGCAAAAATCAAAAATGCTAAAAGCAATGCCAGATTAACTACTTCCACGTTGCGCGTCGTAATTTTGTTATTTTAAATGGATTGCCGTGTTTATTTTCATTGCAACGAATTGCGCATGTCGAATTTCGTATAATCTTCAAAATTGCCAAAGTTGGATACACCGATACACTTCTAAGTTCATTACAACAAAAAGAAATATGGCATTCCATTTAAAATAACAAAATTATAACGTGTAAAGTAAAAGTGGATATTTAAGCGGTACGTTGTACTGCAAAAGTAGTGTTGCTTTAGCACAGTAATTAATAGAAATAAAATTTTGAAATTACGAGACGATAGTAAATTCGACATGTGCAATCCATAGCAACGAGAATAAACAGTCCATTCCATTTTAAATAACCAAATTAAGGGGTGTAAGGTAAAAGTGGTAAATCTGACAACAGGTATTGAATTTCATCGTTTTTGGAGTACTTTAGGAGTTCCGGTACTTTTTACTAAGCCGGTTTGTTCAGTATTTACACAACTTAAAACAAACAAGTTTAGAGCAGATTAAAACAATTATATCTAAGCGGTTAAATAAAATGTCCAGTAGGATATCTCTTCAACGAATTAGGAACTTTATGGTGTAGAACGATAGTTGCTCAATTGGATCTTAATAACCAAACAGCTTGTATAATATCGTTCAAGCGGTTCCCATATCAGTTTCTCAAATATTCGGACTCGCTTTTTCCAGTCCAATTAGTACCATTTATTATTGTCTAGGTTTCCCGCATGATTTTATTACCTCTTGCGTCACGTCGGCTGGTCACGCACTTGTGAAAACAAACGTAAAATTGTTGTCTGAAACTTTGAATTGCTTATCGTTTACGCAGTCTTCCGCATCATTGTAACTTCCCTGAAACATAGCTCGGAATTTGGGTTTCGATCGAAAAGTAAAAGTGCGCCTTTAATTTTCGTGTTCTACCGATCGAAAAAATTTAATTGTATGTTTGTAATACGTGGTACGAAAATGAACTCGACCCGAAAGCTAACTACAAGAAAATAACTGTAATACATATTTTTGTGTCTGTTCAATTTTTTATGTTATTTCCGTAAACGGTCGTTAATCTGATTCAACCTTTACTTTGTTTGTTACACACTGTATATATGAATTTCGAATGCGGCAGTTTTAGTTTGGACCTTATTTGAAAACGATTTTTAAAATTGATTGAAATTTCATGTTCTACTTTTCCGCAATATCCACATTTTTAATTTATAAATGATTTTTCAACTATATAATGTCTTTATTCTTATATGAGCGGTAAAGTGCAGATTATATATATATATATATATATATATATATATATATATATATATATATATATATATATATATATATATATATATATATATATATATATATATATATATATATATATATATATATATATATATATATATATATATATATATATATATATATATATATATATATGATGACACTATATTCCAGGATATCATCCGTCACTCGTCTGCAG